TGGTATGGTATGGTATGGTATGGTATGGTGTGGTATGGTATGGTATGGTATGGTATGGTATGGTATGGTATGGTATGGTATGGTATGGTATGGTATATGGTATGGTGTGGTATGGTATGCTTTGGTATGGTGTATCGTGGTGTATTAGTCTGGTGCGGTATGATATGGTATGATGTGGTAAGGTGTGGTGTAGTATGCCATGGTATGGTATGCCATGTATGCATCGGTATGGCAAAGTGTGGCATGATGTGGTATGGTATAAAACCCTCACGTACCTTTGTTAAATTCAGGTGATTTAGGATCCTTGCAAGCACGACATTTATCTACTTTAAAGGTACTCCCAATCTTGCCATCACATCCCGTACATGTTGAGTTATCTCCTCCGCACTTCCCACATGCATCTGCGCCTGCCTTCCTGTCGTTTGAGCAAACTTCACAGCGGTTTATCCTCTTGTTTCCAAAGCAAGTACCACTGCAATCAGTTACCTAAAATATACACCGTAAGTAGTAAGTACTATAAATGCTATTACACATGACGTTCAACATTAAATGTTTGATATCGGGCCTGCCCACGTAAAAATCTCACAACTTGCCAACAAGATGTGTTCGCAACAGGCTTGTAGCAAACTTGTCAACAAGTTGTAACAATGCTGTTATTTTATCAAGTTGCTACAAGGTTGTCACTCACAACTTGTTGACAAATTGTTGAATAGCAGAACAATAAGGTCTGTTGAGCTCAAAGACCTTGTAGCAAGTTGTCAACAAGCTGGGAACAAGCAGTGCGAACACATCCTGTTGACAAGTTGTTAGAACAGCATTGCTACAAGTGCAAGTTTGTTACAACTTGTGCGTTCTTACGTGTGTACCCGGCGTGTCTCATATGAATACAAATTAAGATTAACAATTTATATGTGATTATGATCAAATGCGCTTTACATCGCGTATTAGGGAGCTTTAGATTTGACTACGAGTACGACTACGACTACGAGATTTGTCAAGCTAAACGCATGCTGTATGCTTACGCCATCCCGTAATGACGCTAAAAAGTCGTAGCCGTCGCCCATCTGAGTACGAAATTGTGGAGAAACCTCGTAGTCCTCACGACGACTTTTCAAAAAAAAAACAAAGAATGTTGGCTTTTTTTTGTTTCCAAAAATAATTTGTAGCATTTATATAGCGTTTATCCGGCGCAAATAATATATTAGTACTAAATATCTGGCCTATTTTTAATGTTATGATTTATTTACACGTTTTGTAGGGGATTTTAGTCGGCAGGAGATTTAGTTTATGAAACTTTTTCTCTAGTTGTTGATTTACTGTTATAAAAGCAACATTTGAATGGAAGCGAAAACGGCTACGGTAATTTCCTCGCACGCGATCAAATCTCGTACTCGTAGTCGTACTCGTAGTCAAATCTAAAGCTCCCTATTATACGCAATACGGGCAACAAAATCTGATTTCTACGCATGTTAAGTAGAAATGTTGACACATAAATTACAAATTACGAGGCAACATATGTCGACATTTCTACTTAACATGCGTTGAAATCAGATTTTGTTGCAAATTGCAGCAATTTTGTTGCTCGTATTACTCTAGCTTTACCGTTAGTCTAGACTATTTTATCTCTACAACAATTGTGATATTACTTTCTTAACTGTGTTTATACTAACCCACCCTGTCAATTAACTTTCCCTGCGGGTGGAAACCGAAGCACCCGGAGAAAACGACTTTCGGCAGAGCGTTGAATTGAATGTTATATGCGTTAACAACGGGCATACATATCTCATCAAGACGAGTTTCGGGGTTAGCTGGGTTCCTATGAACCATCCCGAGCAATATATATTACCTTCTTGCCTCTGGATACGCATGTGTTGTTACATCTTTCAAGATTGATGAACGACCCGCCACAGATCCCTCTGCAATCCTTCCCATGATCCCTGTCTTTCCCAGTGTTCCCAAGGACGCATTCCTTGCATTCGTTAACGATGGCCGATGAGTTGGTAGAGCCGTCACATTTCTTGCACGACCTTGTGCCGCATTGACCACATTCGTTATGGATCAAACCTGAGCTTGGCCGTCCGTCACAACCAAGACGTTCCATGAAAACACTCAGGACTTGGCTACTGATGGCGTTATTTCCTGGAAAGGAAAAATCATTTAGGTTAAGTATGGTCGCCATATGGTAGTCATGGGTTACGGTTAGATATGTAACGAGTTAGGGTTAGAAAGATAGAAAAACTTTATTCAAAAAAGCATCAATAATTCATGAGGAAAACACAAAGAAAAATCATAAGCGTGTCGTATGCTCGTATCTTTATATGTGATAGAGATTTTCCTTGATTTACATAAACTTTAACTTTGATTTTCTTGACTTGCACAAAAATTGTGAAATTTCACGCTCAAAAGAAAATTGGAAAAAGTCACGTGATCGATATCTTCACTATAGTCACAGAATAGGAAGGTACAGCAGAAGCGTAACTTGAGTCGGTTTCATTATTGTTTTACGTCCACGAAAATTTTAACTCGCTCACGTCATCCTGGCTTACTCAACCGGAAGTTTTTATCAGGTTTTGGTAGGTACAAAGTGCCGGTTGTAGGCTACTAGCCAGGATGGCGTGATTGATGACGAATTGCTTGTAAAAACGCGGACAAATGCTTGCTTGAGTTACACTTCTGCTATACCTTCCTATTCTGTGCTATTGTGAAGATATATGAAAAAAATCTCACTGTGTATTTTTCAGTATCTCACTCTCTACTATATAATTAAAAAACTCATTGATAATTCAGGAGAGCAAAACACAAAGAAAAATCATAAGCGTGTCGTGGTTTTATATGTGATATAAAATCACGTTTTTTAAGCCATTTAAAGCACTTGTAGTCGTGTTTTATCACATATAAAACACTCCGCTACGCGTCGTGTTTTATATGTGATAAAACACTCCTACGCGTGCTTTAAATAGTACGTAAACATATGAAAGGCTTGGCCAGAAACAAATACAAACCTTTCACAGCGACAACATAAGCTCCTGACGCCAAACCATCAGATTGATCCCATAAAAGAAAACGTAAGACCGTTTGCAGTGCTTCAAACTTTCTCCAAACTTTATCAAGGGGTGAAGGACGTAATCGAATCTTCTGTACAGGTTTTAAGAAGAGTAACTCTGCCTTATCGCCATCGATCGAGCCTCTCGTACTAATATTCACGGTTCTCTCAATATTCTGCCAGGCATTGCTATCGTCAAGATACTGCCATTGACCAATACGCGAGACACCAGCCTTGGCTATAGCTATACCCAAAACGTCACCATCTACATCCATGCCAGCTACAATAAAATGATATCATTTGAAAATTATTCTGAAACAGACATTAGTGTCTGACTTCGATTGGATGCACACGAAACAATGGATGATTCCAGGTATATACTAAATTTTGATTTAGGCAAGAAGAATAAAATCCATCACCACAGCTAGAAAGAGCATGTTAAAATGAGTAAAATTGCAAAGTTTGGTTGCGAAATGTTGTAAAATGAAGAAAATATAGCACTACGAAATTTGCAAAGTTTGCATTCATTTGTATACGCGTCGCGGGAAAATGCACCACTTTCGGCCCAAATGTGGTGCATTTTCCCGCGCGTAATACAAATTATTACAAAATTTGCAAACTTCGCAGGACTATATTTTCCTCATTTTACAAAATTTCGCAACCAAACTTTGCAATTTTACTAATTTTAACATACTCGTTCTAGCTGTGGTGATGGATTTTGTTCTTCGTGCCTAGATCAAAATTTCGTCCATATATACTGAGCTGGGATTATCCATTGCCTGAACGCAAGGTTCATAAATGTCAGGGCTCGACGTTTTTTTGGCAGGTGAAATAAATTTTAGCCTGCCATTTTTATTCATTGAACTGCCAAAATGGCGATGTCTCATATGAGTCATATTGTAAAAATCAGTGTTTTCATGATATGCATTTTTATTATTTTTAAACTTGTCTATTTTACTACAGTAAACTTGGATTTACATTCCAAATATAAACGTATTTAGTCAACTAAATGATCTAGTATATACGAGTTGTGGTAAGCAAATGAAATGAAATATACCTATACAGTTAACCTGCCAATTATTTTTTTTGACTCGCTATTTCGAGCCCTGATAAATGTGATTGAAGGGTTTCGAGAGAAAATTTTTTATAAGGCCAAAAAAAAATATGTGGGTTTCCGGTTTCCCGACCCTACCTAGTTTTTGGACGTCGAAATCCCGACCCTAAACATTTTTATTGGATCATGCTTGTAAGTGTTTCCACTTAGAGGAAAACGTTTGTGGAAAATTGAAATTTGAGGCAATATAAGGGAAATATATCTTTGGATGTGGAAGCACTGACTAAACAAAATAGCGTCCGCTTGTTCGGAAAATTAAAAAAAAAAGTTAAAAAAAAAAGTTAAAAAAAAAGTTAAAAAAAAAAGTTAAAACCGACCTACCCTACCTAAGTTTTTATAAGAAGAAACCGGAAACCCACATATTTTTATGGCCTAAACTTATTAGACCTAACAGGAACAGTTGTAAAAAATGCAACTATAAGCCTCCAGACAGGAATCGAACCTCTGGTCCTGTGATTCGCTACAGCGCTCTAAATCTCATAGTTTTAAAGTCATCAAAATCTGTCGTCCATATCTTACCTTTCTTCGCAAAACTCTCGACTGGAAAACCTTTGTTAGCAGCATCGTTGGCCAGTTCAAAAGGCAAGGGTGGAGCTTCCACAACCAGCCTCAGTCTGTAAGGGTTTTTAGGATCAATGGGACGGGGTGATGGTTTATCATTCACATTAGAAATGTTGATAATGAGCTCGACTCCTTGACCAACTCCACAGGTATTTCTGTCAAAATTCGAGAATTGGTTAAGATATCGGTCATATTAAAATTTAAGCAAATTAACTTTATATAGACTGGACAGTTCTATCAGTTCTAAATTGTTCTTCCTAGAGGTCCAGTAAGGGTCATCTCTTATTGATCCAGTATTACTACAGGAGGAAACCTGAACTAAACTAACTTTATTTATACTGGATAGTTCTATCAGTTCTAAACTGTTCTTCCTAGAGGTCCAGTATAAGATCATCTCTTACTGATCCAGTGTCACTACAGGAGGAAACCTAAACGAAACTAACTTTATTTATACTGGACAGTTCTATCAGTTCTAAACTGTTCTCCCTAGAGGTCCAGTAAGGATGATCTCTTATTGATCCAGTGTTACTACAGGAGGAAACCTAAACTAAACTAACTCTATTTATACTGGATAGCTCTATCAGTTCTAATCTGTTCTCCCTAGAGGTCCAGTAAGGATCATCTCTTGTTGATCCAGTGCATGTTTGATAATATCAAACTGGAAGCACTTTTCTCACATGTAACCAGCTAGTGAAATTATATTCAGACATCCGCATATTGCAGGAATCACACTCGCGGTCACATGGATGAAAGATGCAGGCACTAACCCGATGTGCTACCAACATTCATATAAAATCAAACGTTGTCAACTTACATGACGTCCTTGACCTTGGTATCAGGCGGTACAGCAACGGGGTAGACCATAACTTTAACTACACCGCTGACATCTTTCGCTGGTTTGAACACTAATTGACTTCCAGCTGCAAATATCTTGGGAATGGCGAGCATTCTAGGTGATAAAAATCGATATATACTTTATAAACAAAAGATAATGTAAAACGGAACGGCGAACATGCAGATTCGGCCATCTCAAATAATGATGTTGGGATAGTAGCGTTGCAGACTGCAGAGGAGAGTGGGCAGTAAGGCTCCCTCGTGCACCACCCCATGGAAAACCTGCACCCCTTCTTGCAGATGAGGCTAGATGCACTACACGCCGTGCTTCACAGAGAACACATAAGTCTTCTCAAATTCATTAATAATTCATGAGCAATTCAGCCAATGATAATCACCTATTTGATCACAAGATGCCATTTGGATAACCCGGTGAAACTTGATGAAAGTCACTAGTGTTTTCATCAAATATCTTAATTACGCATGCACAATTACTTGAATAGAATTCCTAATTACGTTATGCTTGGTTAAGAATTCTATTCACATCAGCAAACGAAAACATTCTGTTACGTCTCGATTCATTTGAGAAGCCATATAAACAACTCGAGCTCGTGTCTCACCGGGATATCCAAACACTCGAAAACAACGTATGAAAACACTCGCGCTTCGCGCTCGTGTTTTCATACATTGTTTTCTCGTGTTTGGATATCCCGGTGAAACACTCGCTCTCGTTGTTCATATATCAGATCAAGTACTTACATGCTAGGTCGTCGTTCATTAGGAGACTCGTCTTCTTTCGCAGATTTTTCACTTTGTTCCATCAAGCGATGTCGTCCCGTCGACTTGACCATGATACCCAAGTTCGCACCAGACGATCTTCCTTTTAACATTTCACGATATTGGTTCAAAACAGTCTGAGGTACAAACTCGTTGTACTCGTCGTGAAGATTCGAGGCCATAGCTTTCGCTTGTTCTCGCGTCACAGTAAATACATCGTCAAGATTGAAGTTCAGTGGTTTTTCCTCCTCGCCTGATAAATAAGATAGACACAAGTTTATTAAGGGGCATTTTGTCAATGTCGCGTTGAAAAATATTCAAAACCTAAAGTCTTTTTGGTGTTCCTCTCAAAATTACTTTGTTTTAGCTTTATTTTGTACTTTACACAATTAGCAACCTTTTTAAATGTATCTGGCGGTTGAGAAACACAAAATACTAGTTAAATACAATTATCATTGATGCTGTAAAATTCACGCCATATATTTATACAGCAATATAAGCAAAACTTACTGAAATTCAGACATCGTTTTCTCTTTGGCGTACCATCTAAAATCTCTTCATTTTAGCATTATTTTACAGATAAAGCACTAAACATACTTTTTAAGTTCGTTTGCAGCTTGAGAAACGTTTGGAAAATTTAAAACATTGAATGTAGTCATAATCAAGTGGAAAAGTATATTCATTAGTTCATCACCCAATTGTCCTACGAAACAGTAAAATATGTACATTATATAAAACTCGCAAACCTGATAGTTCTTTCTTTATTTCAAGTTTTGGCACGACGCAGGGAAAAACAATTATGCCGATGTACTTGGAGACGTCGTTGATTTTCAGTTCAATGCCTTCGAAACCATGGACTGAAGAGTTTGCTGGCATGAATCTGATGCTGTCTCTGGGAGAAATCTTGCTTCCTAGAGAATAATATGGATGGTCAGAAACTAAAATATCTCACAAAGGTAATTTTCAATTCCAAACGGTGGAAGAATGCGTTTTCGACCGGCAATTTTTTTTAAGAGTACGTATGTGGCCATTTCTCATTGTTACGATTTAAAAAAGGTATAATAGAAAAGCTAAATAACAGCTATTTCGTCTTATGTAAAAATTGAATTGTTTAGCTAAGTTTATGATGCACGAGAGCCTGTTGAATTTCCATTGCGTTTTTTAGACACCTTGAGACTCACGCCTGTATTGTAAAAGCTCACTCACGCTCACACTCAAAGAGTGGAGGTTCAATCTAGACTTATCTTGAGTGTTAGTGCAGTTTTTGAATAGCTGGAGGGCGAGAATTCACATAGTAAGGTACGACACTAACCCTCTGGCTATTCAAAAACTACACTGACACTCAAGCGAAACTCAGATTGAACCTTCACTCTCCGACTGTGAGTGAGCTCTAAAAATACAGGCGGCAGACTATTTCCCTCGGGAGCAAACATTACGTGCATCTTATTTCTAACAGTTTACCTTTATTCACATCAATCCATCTGGCTTTTATTTTCGTGCCCACAGTACTCTTCCTAACTTGCCAACGTCCCCTGCCATTCTTCAGTGTCCCCTCCACAGGAGCTTCTTTAAACCGGAGTCTCTTTAGGACCTCGCCCAGGGTGTGGCCACGGTTGAAAGCTTCTGCGACGTTTGCAGAGATTGTTCCAGCAAAGAAATAATCATTCTTGTTCCTCGGAGGTCGTGTGCTTGCGACAGGTCCCGAAGGCCGTGGCGAAGGTCCACAATTCGGCTAAAAATTCACAAAACATGGATTAAAATTTATTGCTGCGCGTGGTTAGGTGCTGAAGCTGCAAGGGGCTTGGTGTGTATGAAAGAAATCCTCCGTGACCCTTGTGCGATTTTTGCAAGTTGTTTGACAATGTAAATTTCTGTAAAAGATAGAAGGGGTACCACAACTCGACTGGAAATTTACCAAAACAAACTCCAGTAGTTCAAAGTTTCATTTATTTACAGTGTTGTAGGTAAAACAGGGGTTCAGTGTTTGCGGAAGAAAACCTTCGCGACCCTTGCGCGCTTTCTAAACGATGCACTACGCACGTAAAAACGCGCAAGTTCTTACAGATCTGAAGATCCTAGGCAGGAACAGCCGAAGTGGAGAAGAGCATGCACCTCAAATGGGAGGTAAATATTTAAAGGAGTTTTAGAGTACTCAACCTATACTATCAGGCTTAACTCAGCGGTAAGGGACAGCACTATAACCGATCTGTCAGTTGTCTAGTAATTCTGAAAATGGTCCATATTATATTCCAGTACTTAGTACTTACATCTTCTTTACGACAGGGTAGCGAACAATCTTCGTCTTCTGCAACACATGTCATTCCAGTAGATGTTGGACATGATTTCTAGAACAAATGAAAACATATCTTAAGAAATAAATTATTTCATCAACCAAAACACACGTTTGTGTGGGATATCTCACATGCTATGACAATCCATCAATCCTTTTACAGCAGAGTTCTAACCCGATTCACTTTAACCATAACGAAAATCCTTACCCCAAACCCTAAACCTAACGTGGCACATCAACAAGCGTCGAACAGGAATGACGGCAGCTATCTTACACAAGAGCATGATGTCATCACATTGTTAGGCGGTGACGTCACCCCTCCACTACAAGATGCATGGCAAATCAGCCCCGATAAAGACCGCAGTGTCGCAACGTTGGATGGTGAATGTAAAATGCTACTACATACCCACTGGTAAAATTCGAGATATAGAATGCAATCCCCATGAGCTAGCCACAAGTTTATGCATAAACATTGATAGCAATGACTGGTAAACGTAAATTCTGCTCACCTCGCCTTTTCCGCATGATACGGGCATTTCAGTTCTAGTCCTAGGACATGATTCCTTCATCGTTGCTTCATCGACACATGCTCCTGAGCTGAGACAATAACGCTGGATTGAAAAATAGACAATAGGATTTTGAGAGACAGAGTTTTACATCAACTTAAAAATGGGTTATGGATAAGCTCAGGGTTAAGATTAGAAAATATCTTTTTCTTCTTGGCAGCAAAATCTAAAAATTAAAATTTCCTGTGGAATTCAAACACAAAACTTTCAGATGCAGACTTCGGAGAACCTATGGTTCAGAACGGTTGATGATGAGGTGCAGGGTTAAGATTTGTGTCGAGGTAAGGGTTTGGATAAAGGTTAATGTTAGGGTTAAGGTAAAGTCTGTGGTTCTTACTTTTCCTTTCTCGCAAGGCATTTCAGTTTTAATCGTAGGACATAATTCCGTCATCTTTCCTCCATCGACACATTTTCCTGAGCTGAGACAGTATTGCTGGATTGAAAACAGAAGACTTTGAATGACAGAGTTTTACGTCAAGGCTGGGTTTATGGTTAGACTCAGGGTTAAGATTAGTGTTGAGGTAAGAGTTAATGTTAGGGTTAAGGTTAGGGTTAAGGTTAAGGTACGGTTTGTGGTTCTTACTTTTCCTTTTTGGCAAGGCATTTCAGTTTTAATCCCAGGACATAATTCCTTCATCCTTCTTTCATCGACACATTCTCCTGAGCTGAGACAGTATTGCTGGATTGAAAACAGACAATAACATTTTGGGTGACACAAGTATGGCTAGCTAGACTCACAGTTAAGATCAGTATTGACATAATGGTTTGGATAGGGTTCAGGGTTAAGGTAAGGTCTGCAGTTCTTACTTTTCCTTTTTCGCAAGGCATGTCAGTTTTAATCGTAGGACATAATGTCTTCATCCTTCTTTCATCTATACATTTTCCTGAGCTGAGACAGTATTGCTGGATTGAAAACAGAAGATTTTGGGTGACAGAGTTTTACATCAAGTTAAGAATAGGTTTATGGTTAGGCTCAGGGTTAGTGTTGAGGTAAGGGTTGGGGTAAGGGTTAATGTTAGGGTTAAAAATTTCCTGACAGCGGTGTTGTTGGACATATTCGAGCACAAGGATAAGGGTTAATGTTAGGGTGAAGGTAAGGTATGTGGTTCTTACTTTTCCTTTTTCACAAGGCATTTCAGTTTTATTCCTAGGACATAATTCCTTCATCCTTCTTTCATCGACACATTTTCCTGAGCTGAGACAGTGTTGCTGGATTGAAAACAGACAATAGGATTTTGAATGACAGAATTTTACATCAACCTCAGGGTTAAGATTAGTAGAGTTAAGATTAGTGTTGAGGTAGGGGTTCGGATTAGGGTTAAGATTAGTGCTGAGGTGAGGGTTCGGATTAGGTTTAATGTTAGGGTTAACGTTAAGGTTAAGGTAAGGTTTGTCTTGTGGTTCTTACTTTTCCTTTTTCGCAAGGCATTTCAGTTTTATTCCTAGGACATAATTCCTTCATCCTTCCTTCATCTACACATTTTCCTGAGCTGAGACAGTATTGCTGGATTGAAAACAGAAGTTAAGAATGGGTTAACGGTTAGGCTCAGGGTTAAGATCAGTGCTGATGTAAGGGTTCGGAATAAGGTTAATATTATGGTTAGGGTTAAGGTAAGGTTTGTCTTGTAGTTCTTACTTTTCCTTTTTCGCAAGGCATTTCAGTTTTATTCCTAGGACATAATTCTTTCATTCTTCTTTCATCTACACATTCTCCTGAGCTGAGACAGTATTGCTGGATTGAAAACAGACAATAGGATTTTGGGTCACACAAGTTAAGAATGGGTTAACGGTTAGGCTCAGGGTTAAGATCAGTGCTGATGTAAGGGTTCGGAATAGGGTTAATATTATGGTTAAGGTTAAGGTAAGGTTTGTCTTGTGGTTCTTACTTTTCCTTTTTCGCAAAGCATTTCAGTCTTATTCCTAGGACATAATTCCTTCATCCTTCTTTCATCTACACATTCTCCTGAGCTGAGACAGTATTGCTGGATTGAAAACAGACAATAACATTTTGAATGATAGGTGTTTTACATCAAGTCAAGTTTTACATCTGTTTATGAATGTTTTACATCAAGTCAAGGATGGGTTTGTGGTTAGGCTCAGGGTTAAGATTAGTGCTGAGGTGAGGGTTCGGATTAGGTTTAATGTTAGGGTTAACGTTAAGGTTAAGGTAAGGTTCGTAGTTCTTACTTTTCCTTTTTCGCAAGGCATTTCAGTCTTATTCCTAGGACATAATTCCTTCATCCTTCCTCCATCTACACATTTTCCTGAGCTGAGACAGTATTGCTGGATTGAAAACAGAAGATTTTGAACGACAGAGTTTTACATCAAGTCAAGGATGGGTTCAAGGTTAGGCTCAGGGTTAAGATTAGTGTTTGAGGTAAGGGTTAATGTTAATGTTAAGGTTAAGGTTAAGGTAAGGTTTGTCTTGTGGTTCTTACTTTTCCTTTTTCGCAAGGCATTTCAGTTTTATTCCTAGGACATAATTCCTTCATTCTTCTTTCATCTACACATTTTCCTGAGCTGAGACAGTATTGCTGGATTGAAAACAAAGATTTTGAGGGACAAAGTTTTACATCAAGTTAAGAATGGGTTTATAGTTAGGCTCAGGGTTAGGATTTGTGTTGAGGTAAGGGTTTGGATTAGGTTTAATATTAGGGCTAACGTAAGGGTTAAGGTAAGGTTTGTCTTGTGGTTCTTACTTTTCCTTTTTCGCAAGGCATTTCAGTTTTATTCCTAGGACATAATTCCTTCATCCTTCTTTCATCTACACATTTTCCTGAGCTGAGACAGTATTGCTGAATTGAAAACAGACAATAGGATTTTGAATGACAGAGTTTTACATCAACCTCAGGGTTAAGATTAGTGCTGAGGTAGGGGTTCGGATTAGGGTTAAGATTAGTGCTGAGCTGAGGGTTCGGATTAGGTTTAATATTAGGGTTAACGTAAGGGTTAAGGTAAGGTTTGTCTTGTAGTTCTTACTTTTCCTTTTTCGCAAGGCATTTCAGTTTTATTCCTAAGACATAATTCCTTCATCCTTCCTCCATCTACACATTTTCCTGAGCTGAGACAGTATTGCTGAATTGAAAACAAACAATAACATTTTGAATGATAGGTGTTTTACATCAAGTCAAGTTTTACATCTGTTTATGAATGTTTTACATGCTGGATTGAAAACAGACAATAGAATTTTGAATGACAGAGTTTTACATCAACCTCAGGGTTAAGATTAGTGCTGAGGTAGGGGTTCGGATTAGGGTTAAGATTAGTGCTGAAGTGAGGGTTCGGATTAGGTTCATGTTAGGGTTAACGTTAGGGTTAAGATTACCGTTGATGTAAGGGTTTGGATTAGGGTTAATATCAGGGTTAAGGTAAGGTCTGTAGCTCTTACTTTTCCTTTTTCGCAAGGCATTTCAGTTTTATTCCTAGGACATAATTCCTTCATTCTTCTTTCATCTACACATTCTCCTGAGCTGAGACAGTATTGCTGGATTGAAAACAAAGATTTTGAGGGACAAAGTTTTACATCAAGTTAAGAATGGGTTTATAGTTAGGCTCAGGGTTAGGATTTGTGTTGAGGTAAGGGTTTGGATTAGGTTTAATATTAGGGCTAACGTAAGGGTTAAGGTAAGGTTTGTCTTGTGGTTCTTACTTTTCCTTTTTCGCAAGGCATTTCAGTTTTATTCCTAGAACATAATTCCTTCATTCTTCTTTCATCGACACATTCTCCTGAGCTGAGACAGTATTGCTGGATTGAAAACAGACAATAGAATTTTGGGTGACACAAGTTAAGAATGGGTTAACGGTTAGGCTCAGGGTTAAGATCAGTGCTGATGTAAGGGTTCGGAATAGGGTTAATATTATGGTTAAGGTTAAGGTAAGGTTTGTCTTGTGGTTCTTACTTTTCCTTTTTCGCAAAGCATTTCAGTCTTATTCCTAGGACATAATTCCTTCATCCTTCCTTCATCTACACATTCTCCTGAGCTGAGACAGTATTGCTGGATTGAAAACAGACAATAACATTTTGTATGAAGTCAAGGATGGGTTTAAGGTTAGGCTCAGGGTTAAGATTAGTGCTGATGTAAGGGTTCGGATTAGGGTTAATATTAGTAATATAAAGACAGAGTCTTGTAATTTGTTCATGTGTTTACTTTGCATACATAAGACCATATTCTATATATTACACGTGTCCTCTCAATACCATCGTTCACAGGGTGTGATGATCACGTGAATACCACAATTAGGGTTAAGGTTAAGGTAAGGTTTGTCTTGTGGTTCTTACTTTTCCTTTTTCACAAGGCATTTCAGTTTTATTCCTAGGACATAATTCCTTCATCCTTCCTCCATCGACACATTCTCCTGAGCTGGGACAGTATTGCTGGATTGAAAACAGACAATAAGATTTTGGGTGACACAAGTTAGGAATGGGTTTGTGGTTAGGCTCAGGGTTAAGATTAGTGTTGAGGTGAGGGTTTGGAAGAGGATTGGAATTAAAGTAAGGTTTGTAGTTCTTACTTTTCCTTTTTCGCAAGGCATTTCAGTTTTATTCCTAGGACATAATTCCTTCATTCTTCTTTCATCTACACATTCTCCTGAGCTGAGACAGTATTGCTGGATTGAAAACAGACAATAGGATTTTGAGTGACAAAGTTTAACATCAAGTTAAGAATGAGTTAACGGTTTGGGTCAGTGGTAAGATTAGTGCTGAGGTAAGGGTTCGAATTTGGGTTAATGTTAGGGTTAAGGTCGAGTTTGTCTTGTGGTTCTTCGCAAAGCATTTCAGTTTTCAGGACATAGTTGCTTCATCTTTCTTTCATCTACACATTCTCCTGAGCTGAGACAGTAACGCTGGTGTGAAAAATGGACAATAAGATTTTGACTGATAGAGTTTTATATCGAGCGCAAATAATGGGTTTATGGTTAGACTCAGGGTTTGGATTTGTAATTTTGTATCGAGGTAAGGGTTCGGATTAGGGTTAATGTTAAGGTTAAGGTAAGGTTTGTCTTGTGGTTCTTACTTTTCCTTTTTCGCAAGGCATTTCAGTTTTATTCCTAGGACATAATTCCTTCATCCTTCCTTCATCGACACATTCTCCTGAGCTGAGACAGTATTGCTGGATTGAAAACAGACAATAAGATTTTGGGTGAGACAAGTTAAGAATGGGTTTATGGTTAGGTCAGTGTTAAAATTAGTGTTGAGGTAACGATTTGGATAGGGATAAGGTTAAGGTAAGGTCTGTAGTTCTTACTTTTCCTTTTTCGCAAGGCATTTCAGTTTTATTCCTAGGACATAACTCCTTCATCCTTCCTTCATCTACACATTCTCCTGAGCTGAGGCAGTATTGCTGGATTGAAAACAGGCAATAAGATTTTGGGTGACAGAGTTTTACATCAAGTTAAGAATGGTTAGGCTCAGGGTTAAAATTAGTGTTGAAGTAAAAGTTGATGTTAGGGTAAAGGTTCAGGTTTGTCTTGTGGTTCTTACTTTTCCTTCTTTGCAAGGGATTCCAGTTTCGTTCCTAGGACATAATTCCTTCATCCTTCTTTTATTTACACATTTTCCTGAGCTGGGACAGTAATGCTGCATTGAAAACAATATGATTTTGGGTGACAGAGTTTTACATCAAGTTAAGGTTAGGCTCAGGGTTAAGATTGGTGTTGATGTAAGGGTTTGGATAGGGTGAGGGTTAATGTTAGGGTTAAGAATGGGTTTATGGTTAGGCTCAGGGTTAAGAATGGGTTTATGGTTAGACTAGGGTTAAGATTAGTGTTGAGGTAAGGGTTTGAGTGAGGGTTAAGGTTTGGACGTCATCACCATTATCATCGTCACCATTTTTTTAGATTTAAACCTTGTACAGATCACGCATTGAGGTAACGTATCAAGTGGGTGAAATTATGAAGTGATTTTAAGTAGAATGTTCAGTGTGAGGCATACCTGGTCCGTGGGGCATGGTGGTGGAGTTTCCCGAGTTGGCATTCCTGTTGGATATTTCTTAAGAAAAGCTGCATCACATTCCGCTTGAGTTGCACAACCATGGGTAGCTCTACAGAACATCTAAATTTTTCAAAGTATTTAAATTACTTCATATCATCATCACCATCATCATCAATATCATCAACATCAACACCATCATCACATACCTGGTCCGTGGGGCATGGTGGTGGAGTGTCCCGAGTTGGCATTCCTGTTGGATATTTCTTAAGAAAAGCTGCATCACATTCCGCTTGAGTTGTACAACCATGGGTAGCTCTACAGAACATCTAAATTTTTCAAAGTATTTAAATTACTTGATATCATCATCACCATCATCATCATCATCATCATCATCATCATCATCATCATCATCACCATCATGGTGGTGATGATGATGGTGGTGATGATGGTAGGTGATGATAAGGGTTAGAGTCAAGGTTAGGTTTGTCTTGTGGTCCTTACCTTTCCCTCATCGCAAGGCATCTCAGTTTTATTCCTAGGACATAATTCCTTCATCCTTCCTTCATCTACACAATCTCCTGAGCTGAGACAGTATTGCTAGTATGAAAAACAGACAATTAGAACGACTTTACGGTGCAATTAATCACATTATGTGAGGACAAAGCAACTTTACCTCGCCATCGTCACATTCAGGAGGACATTGACCATCTATCAAATGTTCCATAGGTAAACAACGTTCTACTGAATCACAATACGTCTTCCCTTCCTCGCAATGGCACTTCTCGTTCATTCCGATACATTCCATATCTCTAGCTGTTCGGCAAAGTTTCTAAAACAAAAATGTTTGATGATTATAATAACACACATTGTAACAGATGTTTAAGATCACCATCGTCACTACCCTCACGATCATCATCGTCACCAATATTACCATCATCATCATTATCACCATCATCATCACCACTCCATCACCGTCACAATCACTATCACCATCACCCTCACAACATCATCACAATCATCATCATCATCGTCATCATCATCATCATCATCACCATCATCATCATCATCATCATCATCACCATCACCCTCACAACATCATCACCATCATCATCATCATCACCATCGTCATCATCATCATCATCATCACCATCACCATCACCATCATCACCACCATCACCATCACCATCATCATCACCATTACCATCACCATCACCATCACCATCACCATCATCATCACCATCACCATCACCATCATCACCATCACCATCACCATCATCACCATCATCATCACCATCATCATCGTCATCACAACCATCACCATCAGTACATACCATATCTTCAGGACATTCCAACTTGGGACAGCCTCCCTCTGCACACTCCCCACCCCTTGGACAATATTCTTGACCTTCTGGGCATGCGCACTCAGCTTCTCTGTCAATACACCTCATTTGAGTCAAACATGGTTTCTACCGAAACAAGAAACACAATATTATACTCATTGTTTATGACTAGGAACCCACTGAGCGCCAGAGCTCTCTGCCCTTGACAAGTAAAATCATCTGGCATTAGACAGAATAAAATAATAATGGTGCTTATAAGGTTAAAGCCAAGTATTAAGCATTTCTGATCCTTGACATACCTGGGAATCAGGACATTCACAGGCATCTTTTCTTGTGGTGACATTTACACAAGCAGGCATATCCGCTCTATGACGGAATGGGCAGAATTTCTAAGAAACAAAACAAGCAGTTAGCAAAAATAAAAATGGTGCCTTATCTGTAAAATAACGCTAAAATCGAGAGATTTTAGATGATACGCCAAAGAGCAAATGATGTCTGATGTTCAGTAAGTTTTGCTTCGTGTATTTATTAAAGGAATACGTACAGTTCCAGCTTCACAGCCACAGCCAACATCACGTGGAATACAGCCACCTTTGAATGCACAATATTTCTAGAACAAAAGCAGGTTGACATAAACATACATATACATCTATGTAGTGAGAAAAATTAATATACAGGAGGGAAGGACTTTAAATGGAAAAAGTATGTTCAAACATGCAAACTCTAGGGGAAATTTCGAAACAAAATGACACTAACCGTACCCGTAAACCGGCTATCCTAACCTCTCTACTCTTACTATTAGGGATCGCGGTTAGTTTCTTACGTTGGTTATACCGACAGCTAGCGGTTAGGGTTGGACTAGGACATAGTTTCTAAGTAAGAAATCGCTATATTTAAGTTGTACAAGGTGCTTCAAAATACAATTTCTTATACCTGTCCCCTACCACATGTAGGACATTCCACACCCGCTGGGAGACAGCCCCACGTGCTTGCACAGAATGTATGATTTCCTGGACAAGGACATGAGTCATTTGCACTGATGCATTCCTTCAATGGCGCACAAGCAACCTTTAAATAAAATGAATAATTGCTCATATTAATATTTTTTATAGAAAACCAGCACGGTACCGTGTTGTCTTGATACCACGGCAATAAATATCCATAAATGAAGACGCTTTTATATTGAATTTCGTACTCCTTATGTTATAAACTCCAATTTGTTTCATATTAGGATGCAAACAGACGTACCGGTTTGTCCTTGGGACATCCACACAATTCATCTTCTCCAATACATCTTTCTGAGAATGGACAGTAACGCTGAAACGAAAACATACATTTAAACATTAAAAATTCATACGAAGATTCTATCCAGCATAAATAAAGTTAATTTAGTTTAGGCTTCCCTTTGAAGGAACACTGGATCAATAAGAGATGATCCTTACTGGATCTCTAGGAAGAACAGTGTAGAACTGATAGGCCTATCCAGTATAAATAAAGTTAGTTTAGTTTATGTTTCCTCCTATAGTAACACTGGATCAATAAGAGGTGATCCTTACTGGACCTCTAGGAAGAACAGTTTAGAACTGATAGAGCTATCCAGTATAAATAAAGATAGTTTAGTTTATGTTTCCTCCTGTAGTAACACTGGATCAATAAGAGGTGATCCTTACTGGACCTCTAGGAAGAACAGTTTAGAACTGATAGAGCTATCCAGTATAAATAAAGTTAGTTTAGTTTATGTTTCCTCCTGTAGTAACACTGGATCAATAAGAGATGATCCTTACTGGACCTGTAGGAAGAATAGTTTTCATGCAACTGATAGAGCTATCAAATATAAATAAAGTTAATTTAGTTTAGGTTTCCTCCTGTAGTGACACTGAATCAATAAGAGATGATCTTTACTAGACCTCTATAGGAAGAACAGTTAAGAAGTATGGAGCTATATCCAGTATAAATAAACCTACCTCTCCCTCTACATCACAGACAGGAGGACAGTCAAATCTATCGTTCAATTTTTCTTTAAGCATACATCTCTCTTTCGACACACAATAACCTTTGCCTTCTCCGCAATCACATTCAACATCCATTGCAATACATTCCCTATTGCATCTTTTCTGTAAACAAATATTTAAAATATCATAAATGCGTCAGAAAAAGAGGGAGATTGCTTTTCCAGAGAATCTAAAGTTATTGCGATTGTTATTATTTCACCAAGACCTCATTGTATAAACCTAAAATGCAGCATTACCTCGTCTTCGTCACATTCGAAACCGTCCTCCTCGCGTTCATGCTCTTCCCAGCATTCTCTCCCGGTAGAACAGTTATGAAGTGGACGACAGAAGATCTATTGTCAGAAATAAAACATCAATAATTCAGCAACAATAGACCTGATTAACAACTATACCGCAAGTATCCACCCACTGCCACCCCATTCCCATTTTCAGATAACTGATATACCCTGTTATCAATGTAAGCATAGAATGGAACAAAGGTAACCAAGCATTTAAATTATATATGTGAGTGAATTGATAACTCACATGCCTAGTTACCACTGTTCTGATAATGTAAGCATAGAATGGAACAAAGATAACCATGTATTTAAATTATATATGTGAGTGAATTGATAACTCACATGCCTAGTTACCACTGTTCTGATAATGTAAGCATAGAATGGA